CTTCCCCTGCCTTCCCTTCAACCCCTCCACCCCTCCCTATTTACAAAGACTGTTTCCATTTTTTCATTTTCTCATATTAATTCCATTCCCTTCTTTCCTTTCCCCTACCCCTCCCACTTCCCCTACCCCACTTTTTATTTATTGTTTGTGGTTCTGGAGGTTGAATCCAGAGCCTTTATATTGTAGCATCCCTACCCCTTTTTAAATTTTTTATTTTGAGCCAGGTGTGGTTGTGTATGCCTGTAATTGCAGCACTCAGGAGGCTGAGGCAGGAGGGTCACTGTCAGTTCGAGGCCAGCCTCAGCTACAAAGTGAGTTCAAGGCCAGCCTGAATTACATAGTGAGACCCTATCTCAAAAAACTAAAAAATAAATACATAAATAAAATAAAATAAAATCCACTCACCAAAGCTGCAAAAGCCCATCCTGTTTTATTAAAGAGAAATTCCATATTGCTTCTTCGAAGATACACAAGTCCACCAATAACGGCCAAGAGCAATCCCAACATAAGGGGACCAGCATAATTTGGAGGTCTAATTACTCTAATCTAATGGAAAGGAGAAAAAAAATTTTAAAGCATAAAGTTTATTTACTAAGTAAGTAATAATGAAAATGTGGTGCTCGCTTTGGCAGCACATATACTAAAATAATGAAAATGTGGTTATTCTTAGGAAAAGTCATATTTTTTTCATTTCATTCCAATTAAAGCAGTCTATGCTGTATTCTAAAATAGGGTAGAATTGGTATACTATTCTGTTTAATCACAATATAACATCTTTTAGACTAAGAAGGATTGCCAGATTAGATAGCCCAGAGATTTAAGGTCAAAAGAATGGTTTCCAGTCTGAATTTAAGAAGGCAACAAAGTGTGTTTGGTAATTTCACTCTTTTATCAGGATGATTTTGTTAAATACTACTTATGAAAAAATTGCCAAACTACTACTACCTCAGTGATATGGGGCCAAGATCAATTATAGCCGCCCAGTAAAATTCAAAGGGAACAAAAACAAACTAACTTTCTTCAAAGCTAGGAAACTTACGTTGACATCAGTTCTGTCTGCAATCCACCGGGCAATCTGCTCAGCTGAAAAGCCCCGCACCTGCAACTCATATGTATCACCTCGTTTGGGCTTCCCTTTTGCAGGAAAGTTGATGAAAGTTGGAGCAGAATTCATGTTTAACTGAATGAAGAGTAGCCCATGGAAGTATAAATTATCAAAGAAATAATGTTAATATTAAATAATTTTACAAAGATGAGGAAGACATTTTACAAAGGTGAGGCATTTTACAAAGATGAGGAAGCTAAGATTTAGATAGGTTAATTGATTTGCTTAAATGGTGGAGCCAGGGTTCAAACACAAGTCTGACTGTGCCCTTAACTATTATCTACCCTTTACTGACCAAATATAAATCTCTAGCTAAGAAACCTACATTGTACTCGACTAGAATGGGAATTTTATCCCATAGATATTTTAATCTGTTCAGAGATTATGCAAAAAAGAATATGTCCATGAGCACTAAAACTGTATCATGTGGCTAATGCAATCTCCAAATAGAGTACTTTGCGCGCGCGCGCGCGTGCGTGCGCGCGTGCGTGCGTGTGTGTGTGGTACTGGCAAATGAACCCAGGGGCACTGTACCACCAAACTATATGCATAGCCTTTGTTTAGTCTCCCCAGTAGCTGGTATTACATGTGTGTTTTACTTACTGTGCCCAGCTAAGGCACAAGGTGTGAACAGAAGATATGGTTTGAATGTTTAAAAATATTTTTACAGGCCGGGGATTTAGCTCAGTGGTTCCAGCACCTGCCTTGCAAGCACAAGGTCCCGAGTTTGATCCCCAGTACAAAAAAAAAAAAAATTTTTACAAGCCGGGTGTGGTGGGGCACACTTGTAAACCCTGCACTCTGGAGGCTGAGGCAGGAGGATCACCACAATTTTGAAATCAGACTGAACTACTTAGCAAGAACCTTTCCTCACCAAAAAAATTTTTAAAAATGTATTACAGTAAAAGACACATTGCCATTAATTCCCATCAAAATACTCAGAATAGTCCCCCTCATTTTGAACATACTTATTCCATTGTTCTTGGCAATGTCTTACTATAATACCCTTTTAAAAAATTTAAATCTCTTGTATGTACATTCTTAAATGTGGAAAACAAAAGATCAGGATAATTATTGAAAATTACAGCCAGGCATGGTGGCACATGCTTGTAAACCCAGCACTCAAGAAGCTGTGGCCAGCCTCGGCTACAAGTGAGTTCAAGACCAGCCTGAACTACATAGCAAAACCCTGTCTCAAAAACAAAAACAGGGGTGGGGGTTTAGCTCAGTGGTTCCACCACCTGCCTGGAAAGTGAAAGGTCCAGAGTTCCATCCCTGGTACTAAAAAAAACCAAAACCAAAACCAAAAAAACCCAAAGAAAACAGTAGTGAAAACCAATACAAAATGGTAGCCATGTGCAGAAATAGGCAAATAGTCTTTTTTTAAAAATAGAGACAGGGTCTTACTAAATTATTCAGGCTGGTCTTTAATTTATGATCCTGCCTCAGCCTGCCAAGAATCTGGGATTACAGGTGTGCACTACCATACCCAACAGAAATAGTTCATTCTAATGGATTTCATAAATGTTTGCTGATGAGCCTCACTCACATTTTTTTTTCTCATCATGAGACCACGATATCCTTGAAAAGACAACCAGGCCGGGATATATATATATATATATATATATATATATATATATATATATATATATATACACACACACACACACACACACACACATACATACATACATATATATACATACACCCCCCCCCCGCTGAGCTACATCACTGGTCCTGCATTATATCTTTCTTAACACAATATAACTATACATGTGCAAAACAGAGTCTACTTCCTAGAGAAAGTTTCTGATCAACAGATGTAAGCCTTTGGGTCCTCTCAATGAATAATCCTATAATGGAGAATGAATTATACAAAACAATTATAACTTTAAAACATCAGCCAAGAAAATAACTCAAAAAAAAGAAAACCTTGCTGGGTGTGGTGGTGCACATCTGTAATCCCAGCACTTGGGAAGCTGAGGTAGGAGGATCACCATGAGTTCGAGGTCAACCTAGGCTACTTAGTGAGTTCAAGGCCAGCCTGAACTACATAGTGAGACCCTGTCTCAAAAAAAAACAAAACAACAAACAAAAAGAACTAAACAAACAAAAAGAAAACCTTACAAAATAATCCAACTCTCTTGCTTTGGTTCTACACTCACAATAATATCCTTCTAACAGTAATTTTTTACACTTTTCCATAATAAGGCAAGAATTTTGTCTTTACAAGCTGTGATAAAAAATACAGTGAATGTTGCTGCCAAGAGCCATCCAAAATAGATAGGTATGTAAAAACATTATGGTACTAGGGCTGGGGATTTAGCTCAGTGGTTTTGCCGCCTGCTGCACAAGCGCAAGAACCCGAGTTTGATCCCCGGTACCAAAAAACAAAAAACATTATGGTACTGGTGTGTCCTCATTAACCTTCTTCACCAGATATGGCACCATGCTACCTGGCTCTTCTCCAAAGTCAAAATGACCATGGAAAGTAAGGTTTTGAATTGATACAGGATATTGAGGCAGACAGGATAGAAAAATTAAAGATACTCATAAAAGACGACTTTAAGTAGCAAGAGTAAGTGTTCAAAGTGATGGGGGACAGACTGGGGATTTAGCTCAGTGGTGCTGGGCCTGTCTGGCAACCACAAGGTCCTGAGTTCGATCCCCAGTAACACAAAAAACAAACAAACAATAAAACCCGAAAGTGATGAGGGGGTATTCTGAAGGAAAATAATGGCAATGTGTCTTTTATTGTAATAAATTTTAAAATTTTAAGCAGTCATCTTATTTTTAATCATACCCTATATATAATTGTATATTATTATTACTCTGACTATATAATACAATGAATTAATGAATAAATAAACCCTTTGGTTACCAATGTCTATGTATTTTTATGGTTTTGTTAGTGTGCACAAAATATTCAAAGGTAGATAAATTCTGACTACACTGCTAAAAGTTTGATTTCTGTGTCTAAAAAGCAAAGAACTAGACCATGGAGTGTTTACTCCACCAAATGCTGCCCACATTTTAAGCCAAACTCTTTTTTCAGTATTCGTTTAGCTATATCGCCTTTGTGTCTAAAACGGAAAAAAAAAGCTAAGTAACGCGTAAATATTTCCCTAGAAAAAAATTTTTTTTTTTAAATTACAGGGTTACAAGAACCAATTCCAGTGTACTTCAGCAACAATTTACCATTTCCATATCTTTGACTTTATTTATATACGTAAATATGTATCAACAGAAAACGTAATATTTATGTTTTAACATACATGACACTATTACTCTGCAATATGCTTTTAAAAATTCAATCATGTTGAATTTGTATGCCTGATAGCACACATATATTAACTTCATTCTCACAGTTATTAAGTAATTATGCTATTGCTAGACATTTAGGGTTTTCCCTTTCTTTCCAATTAAAAGTAATATGAGCTGCGGGCGTGGCTCAGTAGTAAAGCACTTGCTTAGCAGTATGTATAAGACCTGGATTTCATCCTTAGTATCACACAAAAAAAGTTAAAATGAACATCCTTATACATATCTTCCTGTACATACGTGAAAGTGCACCTCTAAAAATGGAAGTGTTAGATCACAGGGCAGAAATACTTTAAAACTAAAATAAATAGGGCCAGGGATTTAGCTCAATGGCACTGTGCCTGCCTCACAAGTGCAAGGTCCTGAGTTCGATCCCCAGTACCAAACCCCCCCCCCAAACCAAAAAACACCTAAAACAGGTATAATTGCCCTCCAAGGTGGTTGTATTTAATTTATAATGCTATTCATCAAGGTAGGAAAGTATCCATTTCCCCATATCCTTGCCAAAAATTGGTTTGATGGATTAAAGTTCTATGTTATCATTACTGTAATTTTTATTTCCCTGATTTTTTTGGGGGGGGGTACCGGTGATCAAACTCAGGACCTTGAGCTTGCGAAGCAAGAGGTGGCACCACTGAGCTAAATCCCTGGCCCTATTTCCCTGATTATTAACAAAGCTTTTTTTTTTTTTTTCAGTACTAGGGATTGAATCCAGAGGCCCTCTACTGCTGAGCTACATCTTCAGACATTTTATTTTGAGAAAGGATCTTGCTGAGTTGCCCAGGCATGGATTGGATCGAACTTGTGATCCTCTGGCCTCAGTCTCCAGAGTGCTGGGATTCCAAGTGTGTGCCACTGTGCCCAGCTAATAGAAGATCTTTATAACAAATCACTTTTTAAAAAGTATCTTGCAGGTGGGGGATTTAGCTTAGTGGTTCCACCACCTGCCTCCCAAGCGCAAGGTCCTGAGTTTGATCCTCAGTACCAAGAAAAAAAAGGATCTTGTACGGCTGGGTGTAGTGGCACACATCTGTAATCCCAGCACTTAGGAGGCTGAGGCAGGAGAATTGCTACAAGTTTGAGGTCAGCCTGGGCTATATAGTGAGTTCAAGGCCAGTCTGAACTACATAGGGAGACCCTGTCTCAAAAAAAATAATCCTGTAGTTAACACAACAGTGAAAAGCAAGAAATGAAGGGAGGGAGGAGAGAAAGGGGACATAAAAAGAATTAAAACATGTTATGTACAGATACCAACTCCTCGCAATGAATGTAAACATTATGTGCTGCAAATATGTACTAATAAAAATTGAAAAGGAAGAAAACCAAAGGAGTGAAAAGGCAACCTATGAAATCAGTGAAATTATCTGGAAATCATTTATCTAATAAGGGGTTAATATTCAGAAAGTATAAACAACTTCTACAACTCAACAATAGAAAACAACTTGGTTTTAAAGTGGGCAAAGCAAGCAGGCCTGATGGTGCACACCTGTAATTCCAGCTGCTCAGGAGGCTGAGATAGCAGGATTGAGAGTTGGAGGCCAGCCTCAGCAACTTAGAGATCCTATATCAAAAATAAAAAATAAAAAGGATAGCGATGTAGCTCAGTAGTAGTTTGCCTAGTATGTATGAAGCCCTGTGATCAATCTCCAAAACCACAAAAAAAAAAGAAAAAAGGGCAAAGGACTTGAATAGACAGTTCTACAAAGAAGATATACAAGTGGTCAATAAGAACATGAAAAGATATTCAACATTACTAATCATCACAAAAATAAAAATCAAAACCACAATGAGCTACCACTGTCATCATTAGAATGATTAATAGAGTTTGATCCCCAATACCAAAAAAAAAGGAATGAAAAAATATACACACACACACACACACACACACACACACACATATAACCAAAAAAAAAAACAATAACAAAAGACACCAAAAAAAATTTAAAGGGGAAATGTCTAAAACAGATGATGTACAAAAAGACAAAGATATCAAAGAAGTATTTCTAACAATATGAAACATGAAGTGTAGGTAGAAGAGAGATTAATTTTGTTTTGTTCTGTTTTGTTTTTTTGGTACTGGGGAATCAAACTCGGGACCTTGTGCTTGCGAAGCAGGCAGCAGAACCACTGAGCTAAATCCCCGGCCCTAGAGATTAATTTTGGACATAATGAATTTTTGGATTGGGAAGTTCTTCATATGAGCATGTATAGCAAGGAATTACACATAGATCTTTTTTACATTTTATACAATTATTGCGTTCAACTATGAGTTAGACAAACTTACAACAAAGACAGAACTGAGGGCCGGGCATTTAGCTCAGTGGTGTTGCCGCCTGCTGCACAAGCGCAAGGACACAAGTTCGATCCCCAGTACCAAAAAAAAAGAACTGAATCTATGTCCTTGATTTTTTTTTTTTTTTTGGTTTTTTGAGACTGGGTCTTGCTATGTAGCCCAGGCTGGCCTCGAACTCACAGTAATCCTCCTACTTCAGCCTCCTGAGTGCTGGAGTTATAGGCATGTGCCACCACATCTGGCTATTTTTGTTTTTTTGAGACAGGGTCTCATTATGTAGCTCAGGCTGCCTCAAATTTGCAATGATCCTCCTGCCTCAGCTTCCTGAGTACTCAAGATTATAGACAGATATTTTCATGCCTAGGAAATCTATGTCCTTGACTGTATGCAAGGGGTAAGAACAAGTAAAGGCTGAAGCTGAAAGCACAGACATAAAACCCCATGACTGATAAAGAGATGGGTATGTAATCCAGCACACAGGAAAAGGGTTCAGCTTTGAACACAAAGGACCTTTTCTATTAAAGACAAGAGGCAGGGAATAAAGATGGTACTGGCTCTACTAAGGACTTCACTATTGGTGACATAATGATAAGATTTGTGTTGTCATTTCAGTAATTACTTTATAAGTTATATACTTAAAGTGTTAAATTTTATTTTATATTTCACCTCAATAAAACTATGTATAAGTTAAATATATGTACAAGTTTCTTGATTATTACTCAATTTTCATATTCTAACAGGTTAGCATTGATTACTACCTTTTGACTATTTCTTTCTTTCTTTCTTTTTTTTGGTACTGGGGATTGAACTCAGGACTGCGCACTTGCTAGGCAGGCAATATGCCACTGAGCTACATCCCCAGCCCTGATTACTACCTTTTACGGTTTATTCAAGTTTAGCTTTTAGTTCACTAACTACTCTAGATCTTATATAGGAGCAGTCCTATTAAACTTCTTATAGCCACTGAAAAACATGTATTCTACTTTATTCATATTTTACCTATTCCTGTGCTCACTTTGGTAGCACATATACATATTTTATCTATCCCTACATAAGAGAATAAACCAAAGATCTTACCATCTGAAATACATCAGAGCCTTCATCAAAATCCACCATGGCAAAAAATATCCTATTGGTAAATGCACTGGAATATCGCCAAGAGTTTGCCAGGATCTGAAATTCTTCATCAGCTTGCCTGGATGCAATCAAATTTGTGAAGATAACATATAAAACAGTTTCTAAAATCAATGTAGTGTATCAGCAGTTGTACAAAGTCCAACTAACCAATAGCAATTTTGTATAGGAGAAATATTAAAAATCATTCACAAGTAAGTCAGCCTCTGATGACAAGGTTAGGAACAAACCTTGTTTTGGCATGAAAAGCCTTATCCCAAGTGTTGGTGATTTCAACAGAAATTAGTAATTGCATGCCTCCATTTCATGCTTTGTGCCTGTTTCTTATATTAAAGCTCTTTCAGTGGTCACTAGAAAAACTTAACTAATTGACTTGCAAGTTTTTTGTTGTTCTTGTTGTCTCTCTATAAAATCTATATCTATATGGATATAAATGTAGGTATATATATATATATATAAAGATACTAGAAAGCAAAAGCTACTTTATCTTTTAATATCCACCATTTTGAATTATCAGTGATGTTTCTGTTTAAATACCAATCTTTGTTTCTGAGATCATTCAGAAACAGCAAAATAAAACTGATAAACTACTGTTTGATAAAAATTTAGTGAGATTAGTCTCCATCTCCAAGATTAACAAACACTGCAAAAACACAGACAAAAAAAAATCTCTAAATTATATATGTTTGGCTTTAAAAAAGTAATTTTTTTTTGCTACTGGGGATAGAACTCAGGACCTTGTGCTTGCCAGGCAGGTGTGGCACCACTGAGCTAAATCCCCAGCCCTTAAAAAAGTAATTTCTTGCTGAGGATTTAGCTCAGTGGTTCTGTCACCTGCCTCGAAAGTGCAAGGTCCCAAGTTTGATCCCTGGTACCAAAAAATAATAAAAAAGTAATTTCTTTTTACTGACAAATAATAATTGTATAGTATATACATTTATAGAATAGTGTGATGTTTTAAAATATATATACTTGCAGTTGCACATGCCAATAATCCCAGCACTGAGGGAGGCTTAAGTAGGAGGGTGCAAGTTTGAGTCCCACTTGGGCAACTCAGTGAGATGAGACCCTGTCTCAAAATAAAAAATAAAAAGAAAGTGAAGCATTGTGGTATGTCTCTATAATCCTAGGAGGATCCCAAGTTCCAGCCCAGACTGGGCAACTACTTGGGAGGCTGACACAGGAGGATCACTTGAGCCTGGG